CGGGGTGTGTTGGGCTCATGTTGCGCCCTTTTAAACAGTTTTGATGATTTGTACAAGAGCTACTCTATCAGTCTGCGGAGAACTGACCTGTCCCCGCCTGGGGCCCTTTCAGAGGCTGAAGGCTGCGGTTCACTACACGGTTGGCTGCCTGTGTCAGGAGCTGGCAGAAGACAAAGACGTGCAGTTCAGCAAACAAACCGTCGCAGCTATTTCGGAGATCACCTTCAGGCAGTGCGGTACAGAAATTTGCATCTTATCTATTTGTTGAAGAGCAATTGCTGGAGAAACCATGCTTTTAAAAAAGTGGCACTGGAACTAGGTTCCACTGGTGTATTTTGTCTTGCGTTACATTTTAAAAGTACAAGAAATAGTGGTTCTATTTTTCAGAGCTGGAAAAAGCACTTAAATGTGTGTGGAAATACTGTGTGGGCCACCTGCCTGTGCAACAGGGTGGCATGTACTGACAAGTTATGGTCGCTTCTCATCACTGACTTGAATAATCTGCAGTTACATCTTTGTAACAGCTGGAACTGTGTTATGTGTCTCTTTCTACTCAGAGTCAGCATTTTAAAATATGCCGCATCTTTGTGTTTTCTCTAGAGACCTTTGCAAAAGACCTTGAAATGTTTGCAAGGTATGTACTGGAACACTTGGTTGTTACAAAGGCTTTCCTTTTTTGTGTTCAGCTCCAGTATCTTTAAAATACATCTTGTAATTCAAGTTTTAAAGGGTTCTATTGGCTGATTAAATAGTGGCTGTGAAGTTTGGAAACAGATATTCCCCTGTAGGTTCTTCCTGATCTTGGAAGTTCAGTTATGTTGTACAAGTCATTGTTTAGATTAATGACTGTATTTAATTGTCAAATGCATTGATACATGGTGGTACTGGATGGTTTGGGAGTGACGGATGCTTAGTAGCATGCCTGTGTTTCATTTGGGTCTTCGAGGAAGTAAGGGAATGCTTTAAGGAGTCAAAACTTAACACAGTGACCTATTGGCAAGTCAGAGGAATGGAACAGGATGCTTGAAGTTCTGGTTGCTAAATTCTACTGGTTTTACACAGGAGTTGTGGGAATTTAGATGTACACGTACAAACATTGTAAAATAAGTTTTTGTGTATTATAGTTGGAAAAGGTAGGTGTGTTTGGTTTACTGGGTCCTTATTAAGCTCTTTTAGTTAGTGTTGTGAATTAGATGCTGTATGGCCTCTTGTGACCAGTGTTGGCAAACACATTAACGGGTATTCTTTAATTTCATGCAGGCATGCAAAACGAAGCACAGTCACTACAGAAGATGTGAAGCTTTTGGCTAGAAGGAGCAATTCTTTGGTGAGATTCACTGTATTTTCTGTCTCACAATATTCTTAAACCAATTGGTTTAATTCCTAAGAGCATTTGAATGAAGGCTATAGATGATGAAGCAACTGTTGCTTAAGCAGTTTCACTGGCTTATAGATGATGGATGGGCACAATCCGGTGACTTTTTAATTTTCATCTTATTTTGCTTCATGACACTGCCTCACTGTGGGAACACAGCTCTGATTGCAATTCAAGCAGCAATGTTCTGGTTGCAACAGGGCTGCTGAGGTTCCAAGTACAAAAGTGCAACAAACAGACACGTTGCAGCACTGTCAGTCTTGGAAGTAAATCACCTGTTTTTTTCCCGATGTCGTTTTCCTTTGTTTTAGCCTAAGGTCAGGAACAGCTTGAGTCCACCTTGTGGTGCTAAGTCTGTGAACATTAATACAGGGCTGGTTCACATTACTGTATCCTCTCGTGTGCTGATCTGTGTGATGTTCAGTGGACCTAAATTCACTAGTCTGTTCCGTCATACCTGTAAGTGCTTCCATGAAGAAGAGTATTTCCACTATTAATTTTAACTTTATGTGAGCGGACTTTTTCCCTCTATGACTTGAAATATGCAACATGAACTTGCCTGAGGAAGGCATAGTAGGTGCTGGAGCTGAATTTTGTGTTCCTAACTGTCATGTGCTGTTCACATCAAGTAGGTGCAGAGGAATCTTGCAATGTTTCTGTGCTCAGATTGTATCGCGGCAAACTACAGCTCTGAGTAACTGCTAGTGGTGTTGTCTTGGTTCTAGAGATGGATGTAACGTACATTTATAAATCCTAGTCTTGCCAGGGCATTTCAGCATCTGAGCTTATCCAGCTTAGACTGAGCCTTCATGCAAGAATTAAAACTAGTTGATATTTGTCAACCTTTTTGGAGTGTTTGCCCTGTTAATTTATCTTAAACATTTCTCTCTAATTTCTCATGAATAAATGAAGTTCCTCAGTAGATGACTGATTAGTTTATTGTTCTCAGCTGAAGTATATCACCCAGAGGAGTGAAGAGCTTGCATCAAGTAACATGGAGCAAAAGGAGAAGAAGAAAAAGAAGTCCAGAGCAGCTAAGGACCGGAGAACTTCTGCGGAACAAGCAGCTGTGAGTGAAAGTGAAGATTCCAACATGGCATGATTTACCTTTCAAGTAATTTTCTGGTTACCCTAGAGGAACCAAAGTTTGCCTATGAGAAATTCCTCTTGCAAGTTAGCAACGGTAATGAATATTCAGGTTTTTAGGTGAACATGATCAGTTGGATTTTTTTTGTTCCAAAAATGGAAGGTCTGTCAGAATTCAGTAAAGCTTACAGCCAAAATGCCTTAATTGCTCAGAAAAACGTATCTCGTTGTTATTAAAAAGAAAATCCTTTAAATAAAGAGTTTAAAGCAGAACATTCTCACTGACCGTAATACCTGACTGTGTGTAACTCCCTCCATGCTGCTACTTAGTTTCTGCAGCAATTGTTTGACTTCCTCCTTGCTTCCATTTTTGATACTATATATTGAATATTTTGGTTTTGTTTTAATAGCCGTATCTTTCACTCGTTGTTTTGACAATTAAAGCATGTTTTGTGTCATTTTTCACCTGTGATGTTGCTGGTGTACAACCTTCACTTGCAGCAAGCTGCGTCACTTTTTACTACAGTAGGTGGTGGTCAGAAATGTCTCGCCGTTGCCCTCTGCTGGGCTGAGAGAGCCTTACCCAGGGCTGTTGATTCGAAAGAAGCAGACTTAATTAGACAGGTACAGCCAAGAGAAATGAGAAGGCTGCTTAAGCTACTGCGTGGGCAAACTTTATCAAGCAGGAATATGCTTGCCAAGGGTACTCCAAAATATGCAGCAAGAGAGGAGAGACTTGAACACTGTTTTTCTTGCTCAGCCCTTGATTCATGAGACAAACTCTTCCTTGAAGCTACTTGTTCCTTCCTGAAGGATACAGCTTAAGGCAATTCCCCAAACCCAAGTTTAAAACCATCAGGTTCTCATTTTAGTAAGACTCATACCTTAAATACTACCTCAAGATAAAGAAGGTACCAGATGACAGAGTATTTTTGATCACACTTGAGAACCTCCAGGTGCAGCCTTGCTCCTTGTTTAAAACCCTTCTCTTGAAAGAAGAGTACGCTTTCTGGGCTAGAGTCACTCAGCTGTACACGACACAATGGAAGGGGAGTAACGCTCTGGACTCCTTACCTGTGCTCCCTTTTGTTCTTGCTCTGTATTTGAGCTATTAAGCAGTAGTGGCTAGGGAAAAAAATAAGCCTTTTGCAGGCTGTTACTATCCAATATTGATCAAACAAAATCAAGCACAGCAGTGTAAAAGTAAACAGGAATGGCACAAATCCCTGGCTCTGTACAGGAAATTTTACACAATGACACTTAAATACTCTCCCCTATCCCAAACTGTTCCACTTTCAGGGATGACATATCGTTTAGAAGAATTCTTCTACTGACGTAGGCTAGTTAGGTAACTAGCAATTGTGTAATCAACAGAAGATATGTCCTCTCGGCATACCAGTGCTTGTGTTACTCAGTTTTCATATAGCTTTTTTTTGTTTTGTTTTTAATGCCACTATACATTACTGGCTTTCTTGAAGTTCATGAGGCTTTATTTACCTTAATGTGCCCTGGTCATCAACCCAGTCCCACAGGAGATGCAAAAGGTTTTTCTTGGTGCTTTAAGGGAGAAATCATTAATGCAGTGTTGAAGACCATTAATTGAGGATGCTCATTCATGGCAAATCTATTGCTGAAGAAGGAATCTGTGACAAGGTAGGTTTGTCTGCTTGAATGTATTAATGATAAAGACCTTAACTCAAGACTTTGATGTTCTAAAATTTTTACCCTGAAAAAAGCATAATGACAGCCACCCTAGGTTTTCACACATCTTCTGGCTACGTTTCAGACCTTCCATACTGTGTCTCTCCTTCTTGAACACCCTTACGAAATCCATCCTCATCAATCATGGGCAGGTCAGTCACCCTGTTCAAAAGTTAAAGCTTCTTAAATATTACAGGAATAAGATCAAGGAAATGCTAATTTTTGCATAGTTGAAGTATCCATGCAGCTTAAATAAGCTTAAGTGAATCAAACACACTTCATGTCTACAAAATGTAGCTCTAATTTAAGATTAAGTTAGATTACAGAGCATGTTGTATCTGACTTGCACAGGTAAGATAAGTGAAAAATGATCAAGCCTCCTTTGCTCTTATCCACTGTTCTGTCTCTAAAGGAGCAACTCCTGTAGGGGCCTGGTTATCAAGATGTGCACAGTTCTATTTTATTTGCTTCTATTGTCTCTCCTATTCCTTTCTTGAGTAGAAAATGGGTATTTATTTCACAGGACTCCTAGGCCTTTAGAAGCATCAAGCATTTTGATATCATAGTAGCTGTCTTCCAAGAGGAAGGCCCAGTGGATGTTTATGGCACAGCTTACCTGTTTGGGTTTTGAGGTCATTAAGCCCAACATGCCAGGAAGAGAAATAATATGTCTGAAAGTTTGTTAGCTCCGATGTTGTCTGTTGTCCTCAGCTAAAATCTTCTGTTACTTCCTCCAACCACACGTGCGTGTACACTACTGGTATGCAGAAGGTGCTGGCCAATGGCTACAGATCATTTACGGAAAAGCCTTGTGGTTATTTGCTGTGGAAATATAAGATCTGGCAGCAGCTCTTTGTTATCACCAACAGGAAACTCTAGCTATGAGCCAACTTTCAGAATATAATGATCTAAAGATCTATAGTAAAGTCTACACTAAAAAAAACCCCAATTTTTGCAGATAAGTGTACTTATAGGTTTAAAAATCTCATTAAATGGAGATGTTTTAGCAGTTTTCATCTTTGATTGCACTATTGAAAGAGATCCAAGAAGCAACACATAAACTTGACTAGTAAAAAAGGATTTTTAAATAGAAATTATAGGGTGATATGCAGCATTGAAGTCTCTTGGCCAGTAGTTAGTTTCTTCTCTTTTTTCATGGAGACTTTTGAAGGATGTTGATTATAATAGGGCTTTAAAGAGAGTTAAGTATTATACACTCTTTTTGCAAATAACAGTCAATATTGCTATTAAACTGCCAGCTCGGCTTTAGGATAGAATGCAACTGCAGCTCCCATCAGATTATGAAAATCTGATTGTTTTGTTCTATTGGAACAGAACAATTAAGACAAAAGTAACAGTTTAAATCATACTATGCTAGGTCTAGTTGTTAATTTGAATTCTGTAGCATAAGAACTGCAGCATTTAATAATTTGCAGGCAGCTAAAGGGCTGTAACCCTGATATTAGAAGAGAGGAAAAAGCAGCAATGAAAACCCTCCCTTTCTTTTTTTCCTTAAGGCCAGATTGGAAGGACCAACACTGCCTTCCTACAGGAATGATCAGCATGGTCTCTGTGACTCCATCTCAGTGTTTGCCTGGAAGTAGGTGAGTTAAATATTCCTAATACACATAGGACTGAAGTAATTATGCTATCTGCTATTTTAAGTACATGTGAAAAAGCCACAGGTAAAGCCCTTCTTTCCTCTTGTACAGCCTGAGGAGCAGAATTTCCATTGCCAAGTTGAGCTTGAAAAAAGCAAAAGCATTGTAGCTCTGAGCAAGACTGAAAAACTGGTTTACAATGGAGAGAGTGGGACACAAGGTCACAGAAACCACTTGCTGACAACTGGCCTGCTCAACGGGCGCTTTTCAGTGGTGGCCAGGGTAACTAGCTTTGAGTGCAATACAGCCTGCTTCAAAAATTCTGTTGATGCACAGCCAAATGTGTTAATTCAGAAAGACCTGAACTTAAAAAGCTTGTAATAAGTAGCTAGCTAAAGCAGCAGGAAACCTTTTTACCTGCCATGGCCTATAATGTTACAAGCCAGACGTGTAGGCTGCAAGAAGCAACTCCTTGCCCTAGCAAAACAGGCTCCCCAAAGCTGACCGCAAGCTCCCCCCTAAGGCCAGTTAATTCCCCTATGCGTAGCTTCATCTGAAGTTACCTCAAGTATTGTTGCTTACCTGCTCAAAGGCACTGAACTGTTTAGATCCTTTGTTAGTTACGCTGGCAGTCTACCTTCGAGTGTGCTGTAATTCAGCTGGAATGTCTCCATGCAATGGGCTCATCTGAGGGCCTGCTGTAGGAATACTCACCAGCTGGTATCCTGTACCATTTAAGGGTACGCTACATGAGAGGGTTTTGCGTGATACTAGAAAACATTTGTACCTACTAAAACTTTCTCAAAAGTTTCAGCTCACTTTTTTTTTCATATTTTTTTTTCATATACATCTTCTGTTCTCACCAGATTTTTTTTTCATATACATCTTCTGTTCTCACAGGAGAAGAGGAGATTGTGCCAGGTGAGAGTGCTGGTGCAGTGTCACCAGTATGAACGTGCATTAAGAGGAGATTGTGCCAGGTGAGAGTTCTGGTGCAGTGTCACCAGTATGAACGTGCATTCTACCTAAATACTTTGAAGAGGTTAAATACAGAGTACTTCAGTATTTAGCTGCTTCTTCCTCTATCCTTAAGGTAATACTGTACTTACCAGCACATTCTTTAATCATTGCAGCTGGTGGAAATACCAAAACTAGTCCGACAGTAAGGTAAAAAGGTTTTAATGATATTAGGAAAAAAGTCTTCAACAAATTTAAAGATTAATTAAAATTAATATAAAAGCATCATAATACTACACTAATGATTAGGAGAATAATACAGACAGGGCAAATACAAGCCCTACAGCCTTACAAAGCCAGTATTTCCACCTTTGCTGTGTTTTATAAGTTAGTACTTACACTGCACCCAAGAGGCAGGAATTCCTTACAGAAAAAGCACAGAAGTTAAAGGACTTGGAATTTACTGATGAAATTAGCATGAGAAGCCAGAGGTCGTCCATCCTTTGCATTGAAAATGGTGGGAGGACAAAGTAAGCAAACTGCCTGGGACTTCAGAAGTTAGATCCATCATTATCAGATGGAAGCTTCTGGCTCCCAACCAGGTATTCAGAGCTGAACCCTTACATGCTGTGTTTAGCAATACCATTGTTCCAGTATTCTGCAAAAAGTCAAAATCCCTTTGGTTACACATGATTTGAATCATCACAAGAGTTTAAGCCTCAGGACAATGTCCAGATTTTAGTTGTCTGCAGCCAGA